TTTAAAGATACATCAATCAGTTTTAACTACAAGACATTACATTCAGTCAAGTTAAGTTTGTTGACTGATTCAGGATCTTATAAGATCCTCTTCATTGGACTCAAAAACATGACATAAAAATTAAAATGAAAGTGAATGTGACGTTACATGTTAATGTATCTGAGATCTATTATTATAGAAGAGTTCCTGATTTTGCCGATATATATCCAGTCTGTTTTTAAATATATCTATCGTTGTAATACCACATTTTCCGGAAGACTATTCCAAACTTTTGCAATAAGTAAGTAAAAAATGTTCTTGCGAATATCTAATCTGGAATGTTGTGAAAATATTTTCAGCGATTGACGTCTTATTCCCTGCCTTTGTGGATGGTCTTTCCACATCCTAATAAAATCCGTTGTACATTTATTTTAAACATTATTAAGGATTTCAAACATCTCTATCACAACCCCTCGTTGTCTCCGATAGTTGAGTGTTGGCAGTTAGAGTCTCCTCAGTCGATCAGGGTACGATAAGTTCCGAAAACCAGGTATCTGTTTCGAAGCTTTCAGTTTAACTGTTTCAATCATTTAGCATATTCAAGATGAACTCTTATTAATGTTTTGTATAGAAGTGAAAAATTATGTTCCTTTAGAAAATGAAAAGAGCGCCTTATGACTGCAAAAGTTAGCTTTCTCTCATTTCCACCTGTGTCAGATAGGCCTGTCCAGGGCAATAAACATGGTCATGATAGACGTTTATTACACAGGCGCCTGTGTAATAAAGCCTCGCGCGCGGAGTAATTCATAGTTTTTTCCCGCGCATTCATCGACTATGTCCTCGTCATCCGCTTCATCCACAAACACGCATAGTCGATTGGAGTCATTGTTTGCAGGCTCGTATTAACAAAACTGTCAAAAATATCAACATCACCAACCCTGGGACTCGGCCTTTCCGCCGTCGTCCACGTGTGATTGAAAGTGACAATGACTAACTTTCCTCCTGTCGGTGTGACGTAAGTGACGTCATCTCACAAGCAAACCAAGAATTCCATTCATAAATGTGCAAGATTTGTAAGATTACTATTGACAGTGAAGTAGTATTAATAACTTGACCAACATGTTCAAAGATGTAAAAAGTGTTTATGATGTATTATACATTGAGCAATAGTAAATATTAAAAAGAAAAGTGTTGTTTTATTGCGTGTTTTAAGGCACTATATTTGAACGCGTACGCATGTCTCTGGGTGATATATTTGACAGGGTATTTGACCCAGCCCGCTTGAAGAAAAAACAGTTAAACACTGACGTTGGATGTTTACATTCAAAGTCCATATTATGTTTTCGACCGCAAACATAGTTTGCAAAATTCGGGGATGGAGAATCTATTTCAGCATATTTTTTATGTATATGGCCCAAGGAAAAAAATAGAAATCTGAAAAATGGCGGCGTCCAGTGATGGCTACCGCGAGGTGAGTGCAAATATTTGATAATATGAGATTAGAAATGAGAGAAAAAAACTCTTTTCTATATGGGTATGTAGGATAGGGATATTCCACCCTCGGGATCACAAAATATGGTAAAAACCCTCGGCAAGCCTCGGGTTTTACCACATTTTGTGACCCCTCGGGTGGAATATCCCTATCCTACATACCCATATAGAAAAGAGTCTTATATTCTTTACTTGGGTGCTTATGTGATCTTCGAATGTGAGAGATCTGTTGATAATCACGCCTATGTCTTTCTCCTTTTCCACAGCTTGTAAGAGTATATTTTCTATATAATATGTTCTATCTTCACAGAGTCGGCCTATATGCATGGATTTGTACTTTAATGGGTGAAATTTCAACAACCATTTATCACTCACGTTTCAACGTTTGGTCATATCCTCCTGCAAGGTATCGACATCAGCGGTTCCGCGTATACTTTTGAAAACTTTAGTATCATATAGACGACAAACAATGCTGAACATTGGTGTATGTCAGAAGTTACTTCTGTCCATTCTCAGTTTTCTCCGTTCAATGAAACGTGTTGCTGCCTGTTAGAAATAAAACTGGACGTCCAATTTATGACTTCCTTCCTTATCCTATAAGATGACATTTTGCTGAGGAGCTTTTTATGTGGAACAGTATCGAATGCTTTTTGGAAGTCCGTGTATATACAGTCAATCTCATCTCCTTTATCTAATAGTTCCGTCCATTCATCTGATACCTTGAGAAGTTGTTGACTCGTTGCTCTTCCAGCTACAAAACCATATTGTTTCTTAGATAGTAAAGAATTGACAGAAATGTGTTTAATGATATGATCTCTTTAAATTGTTTCCAATACTTTACATACGATGGACGTTAGACTCACAGGTCTATAATTTCCTGGCTTACACTTGTCACCTTTTTTTAATATAGTACAGAACCTACTTGCAATGAAATATTGCACAGTAAAGTTATAGATGATGATATTGATTTTGCCTTTAAAAAAAGTGGGTGCAGACTATCCATTCCAGGGGATTTGTTGACTTTCAGCTTCAGTTGTTCTTTTAGCACAGTTTCATGGTTAAAAAATATAGGTTGCATTGGGAAAATAAGTTCCTTATTGGGAATTTTGGGTATTTCTGTTTCATCACCTGGTTCGGTTACAAATACGCTTATGAAGTAAGGTACTAAAATGTTAGCCCTTTCTCTGTCGTTTTGTTCTTTACGCGAATGTCTATTTCTTGGTTCTCAGTAGAGATCTCCTACTTTCGTTTTCGTTTTTGATTTCGAGCGAATGTACTTCCATATTGCCTTAGAGTTACTTTAAGCCTCTGATGATAATTTAGCCTCTGATGATAACTTATTTTCAAACTGTTTTCTTATACTTTTCTAGAGAGTGCTTCATTTAGATAATATCTCCGATTTCTTTATCAATAGGATATCCGTATACGTTTTTGTTATGTACTTTTGGTGTTATAACATATTCGCTCTCTACTTCCAAAATTTTCCGATAGAATACATTCCAACACTAGTTTACATAATTAAATCGTAAATTTTCTTCCCAATCATACTGTTTAAGTTCTTTATTAATTGCAATATCGTACAATTTAATTGGTCGCGAAATATTTGTTGTTGTTGCATAGCATTCTAAGTCAAAAACGAAGACGTAATGGTCACTCTTTCCTAACTGGCTTTGATGATCTAATTTCGCAATCATATATTCTTCGTTAGTAAGTACAAGATCAAGTAGGCGTGGTTTAATGGATCCTCGCCATCTTGTTTTAGCCTACCATGACTAGATTTAACTACTTTAACATGTTGTCTATGGTTCAGCTGTTCTAAACTCGTATATTATGGAACAGCTTTCACTATGTATGACTCACTTTAGTGGCTTTTTTACCTGATGCAGCTTTTAACTTGCTGATGGACTGATGGTCTCGGATATTTATCGTGACCTGTATACCATGTTTTAATGTATTTAAATGATTGCAGGGTTCAGTACACTTGAAATTATTCATATCGATGATTATTGACTAAAGTGGTTACTTCGTCTCACGGTTTTGACATTATTTTGACCGATTTCATTATTTAGATTATCATCATTTGCCTCCAAAGTTTCATTTTTTATGACATCGATATCACTAATGTGTTTAAAAGGGATGAAACAGCTTACTGTGTATGATATAGCTATAATGAAGCCAACTCTTAATTTATATTGAAAGATACTATTCACTTTTGTGTCTTTTATACCTGTTTACCCTGCAATGCATTATGATCGCTGAAATAATCACATTTATTCAATGCATTTGACACTACAGCTTAGTTTGGAAAAAGGTTTTTGTCTCAAAAAAAAAAAAAAAAAAAAAGAAAAAAAAAAAAAAAAAAAAATGACAACGTACCGGTTTAGTTTATTTGCCAGAAAAATATGATATTTAATGAACAAAAAAAAATCCCAAACAAATTATATAACATTGTCCGAAGATATATACATTTATTTCTAAATTTGACCAATCAGGACGATGCTTTTCCATTTGATGCTTTGAAATTTCCAGATTTTTCCATTCAAAGTGAAACGGATGTTGCAGAAGTGAGCTTTCCATCAAACATTCGCTATGTTCACTAGCAGTTATCGCATCGATTCTAAACAGAAAACAACATAGGCTGGTTTCCTTCATCAAGTCTCCACTGGCTGCTCTTGTATATTAGAATGAAGCTTAGCAGACAGAAGAAGGGTCGGTATAACACTGAGTATAGCGGTCAATTCTATACTGGTCATAATGCCAAGTGTAATGACATATTTATCTGACGTCAATGAACTTTTTTCCTACATTTGTTTCCTTATTTTGTTTGCATCAACGTTTTGGAAATTGTTCCTTAAATAATACAATAAAATTAGGAGTTAATGAATTCCCTTTTGATACACATGTACTTGTGTACAGGAACACAAGAATAAATAGTTTCATTGTAACATCTAACTAGATTACGACATTGAAATTAAGCATTTGAATGTTTTAATCATCTATTCTTGTGATACTTATATAATTAATGAAAAAGTCATACTGATGTCCACGATAATTTGCTGTTTAATACTGTATTTCATATTCGTAAAAATATCAATATTCTGTTATGCATCAAAATTTAAGATACCTTACGGGAAGCCATTATAATATTCTATTTGTTTATGGAAATAATTTATAACAATGATATGAATATTTGAACAATACTGACTCTGTATTCTTAATATATCTACTCTATAAAGATTCTAATTATGTGTTGATATTAATAATAGATAAATATAATGATGTTTCTGTTTATATTGTTTACATACCACAATAGAATTTTGTTTCTGTGTATCATAGTTTCTTGTTTACAAGGTTGCAGTATATTCGTAACAACATGTACATCGTGTGTGATATTTCTGACAGGTATCAATGGTTTGTTTATCTACCTATTCATTTTTCATTGTCAAATATTTAAATAAGATATATAATTTCAAAAAGGTTTTAAGCAGAATTATTTTTATTACCAAATGGTCTGATATGTGACCATCTGATTATCCTATGTGATTGTTTATGTCGCCTGAGCGTACAGGTTGGTACCGACAAAATGGGATGTATTTCATGATTCTCCATGACATCCATTTTGCAGGGATAAGAGGGTTATATACATCTAATCCTTCGCTGTACTTAACAGAGTTATCTCCCTCTTCGGGGTTCTGCCAAGCTGTAATCCCTCTTTCTTCAAGTGTACCTAGACATGAAATCAATTGTTTTCAATTATAATGAAACTAAATGAATTGTGAAACTTAAAGAGTCACTAAATTTTCATCACGTATCTGGGTTTAAAATGAAATAATAGGAAGGATCTATACGTAGAATCCAAAGAGAAATGAAAATATTTAAAGTACACTAAAGTAACCCAAATTTGTTAGAAATAATCATTCAAATCAATCTTATATCACATACATTCATCAATTCATCATTTAATGAAGGACATTAATGAAGTATTATTGCTATTGCATAATTCCAGCTGTTGAAATGACTCCTTTTATCAGCACACTGTGATAAGAGAAAGCTTCTATACATATACTTGTGTATATACTGAAGAAGTGATATTCAGGACCTCTTGATCATTGGAATGTGTTAGCGAAAAATCATGTCAAACCCGGAAATAAGAAAAGTCTACTTGACATTTCTCTTGATAGGTCAAGATATTTTATATTCATTCAACATAAACATTTTGTGCATGCATTATTTGAAAGACTAGACATTTAAGTGAGACATGGAGAACATTGTTCTTATGCAAATAAATATCATTGTTTGATGACTTTACTGAAGTTATCAGATATGACTTTTGACCCTTGAAATCTGACCAATGACAACCTTCATACGAAAAAGTGGACAACTTGATGTTAGAATACTATACTTTCAACTTTGTTCAAAGTGGTTAGTTGGAAATTAATGTTTTGCAATGCATTTGATATATATTCGAGGGGAGAGGGGGGGGGGTGTGCTGCAGATCTTAAAGATTGTCTAGCATAAAGTGCAACCCCTTAATCTTAAAGACATATTAGAATGATACTCTCTATTGGATGAACCAATTTATTTTAGTTCATAATGCTTTTGTATAAGTCGTTAATTTTGTTGGGCTACAGTTGTACATACCTGGCACGGTGTTATCGAGGATACATGCTGTCACTCCTCCACAAAGGTTGGGATTGAGAAGGAGAGTTTTCAAAATATTGTCATAATATGGGCTTCCTGTAACGACAATGAAAAAACATGTAAACAGAATATTAAACAAGACAAATGAACAAATGTGTACTTTTTGCAAAAAGCCGATACGAATATTCAATAAGTTTAACTAGAAGAATGATCAATAACTTACCAGATCTTGTAGGTCTTTATCTTGTCTACTGGTTCATTAAACATACTTTTTTATTCGAATGCAGTAACAATAACATTGTCAATGATCTAATAACGATTTAAACTATATGTCTACTTCAGGCGATGCTGGTAGTTATGATCTCAAACGGGGCTATAGGCCAATAAAATTTCTTTAAAAAATGTAGTAAGAGGAGAAAATGTTTATCATTATCAAACCTTTCTGATAACAACACAAATTAGTTTGCATGTTATCTATGAATCCTAAAACCAAAGATAATATATAAGTTACATATTGAAGCTGGTCTGTGGTTGAAAAATAAATTTCTCATCGCCAACATATGAATCCAGATTTTGCCTAGTACGTTGTTTAATGTTCTACCGGTAAACCATGCAACCAATAGGTGTAGAATAATCTATTCAAATCCAAGCACAACGTATGCTCAACCTGAAGAATCAGAATCGCTGGCGTGAAAAATATTGATGATAATAATAATATTCAAGAGGGAAAATTATCAATACTTTCTTTAGAGTGCATTACTGTCTTAAAAAAGTGCTTCAGAATGGGTTGTGATCCGCCTCATCATATCCTTTGTTTGGAATCAGTATCCTTTACACAACATTTACCTGTACTAATGTCCTCTGGGAAAGCTTCAAGCCAATAAGGCACCATTAATCCCATTAAAAGTCCAGTTCCCATAACTGCCATGTTCCGTGTAGAAGACAATGATACGACCTGAAGGTTTGACAGCACGACGCCATTAAACATTGCGAACATTACCATCATAGCGCCACCGAGCACAGGTAACGGAATTGTGATGAAGATTGCCGAGACTTTTCCAACAAGACCAAATACCACGTAAATGAGAGAAACCCACCAAAACACGTCCCTGCTCGCTACCTGTTAATAAAGTAAAACGTACATGACTGAGACTTTCTTTATTCTCCAAAGCAAGCATGCATTCTCTCAGTTATCAAAATTTGTTTCAGTTTTCTTTTGAAATGATCTTCCACTTTCTTGTTTTATCCTTCCAACATTCGATACGAATTGAAAATCAGATATCAATGAGTTAAATAATGAATAAAACTACATCATTCAGCTTTTTCCTTTTTCTATGACTTCTCAGTGACGATAAAGGACCTAAACATTAAAACCTGTGTCGTCTAAGGAAAACGAGTCCTAGCGGCCTTGACGGTCACCTAAGATAAGCAATATTGAAATTATGACACTGAATCACCAGCCAGTGTCAATACATGCATACCATCAAAACTGTCATCTTTTACTGATAATTCATATAAAGTTATTTCAAGAGGGAAATAACCAAAGTTATGCTCAAAATGATATTTCTGTATGAAAATTACAGTCAAGTCTAAAAAAAAATCTCCAAAGGAAGAAATGTGAGACTCATTTGGGTAATCAAAGCACCTTAAGATGCTTCCATTCATGAGGAGCATTTGATTATACCTTATCTGAGAGCTGAAAAGAAGAGTTTTGAATTTGAAGTTGATTTTGTTCCCTTTGGCCCCGTCCATCATCCCCTGGGGGTCAGTCAGGATCAAAATGGGTATACCATCTGGCCGTCACGCTTCACTTATATTTCTAATCAACTTTTAGATATTTCCAATGGAATCTAAACAAATCATGCTCAAAAATGTAGTTTTCCTATATAAACTAGAGTAAACTTTGCTCCTTCCCCACGAAGAAATGTGAGACACTGGGGCCATGAAATTCACAATTTCACAAGTTCACCAGCAGTGTCTTCCAGATGCAATGTCCAAGATTTACAGAAAACACAAGTGATGCGCAATTTTCTGTAGATTTATAAATAGTAGAGCCGAATAATGAATTAAACCTGCACCATAAACTGTTTCGTCCTTCTTAATTGATATTTTGTATGTTATCATTATTATATCACCACTGATGTTATGACATATGTATCAAGATTCATTGCATGGAATATAATTTTTAATGTCAAATTACGTCATGGTGTAATTGGTAAAAATGCGTCAGTGCAATTTTCACCTGGGGCTGAGGATGTAGCTTAGATGGTTGAATAAGTTCGAATGAAATTCATTTTGGCAAAAACTGACCTTTGTGACTCCCAAGGCACCGATATTTCCACCGGAAGTTGTAGTGGCATGACCACAACCAAAAAGTCCAGACAGGGTACTACCAAATCCCTCAACAGCTATCCCACGGTTAACTGCATGTCGTGGAGGAGGAGGAATGTTACAGACTCTTGCACATGCGTAGTAATCACCAATAGAGTCGAGGATCGACGTTATGGTTGCAATGAGAAATGCAATGAAAATGCCAGCATTGAAAGACGGCCTTCCAAACTGATCTGTGAATAATAGAAAGGACTTATGATAAATATCTAAGACATGAAAATGGATTGTTTATTTCATAAAAAACAATCCGATACACCAATATAACACAAAGTATTCTACCGCAGAAATTCCAATCAAAACTTTTTTTTTCAATTTCGAACAATTTCATTACCATAAAGATACTGGACTGGACAACAGACAGACCTTATTTAAATCCTTCTTCACGCATAACATCAAAATAGTACATGACGTTATCACTGTTTTGATTGTTATATGATTTACACTGTGTATGAACATAGTTTCAAGTTTCCAATGTATACTTGTATTCCTAAAAAATATCTAGCAATTGCCTTACCAATAAACATAACGTTGCACATTAAAATTCACAAAAAATGATTAAAAAAACCCCACCTTATCAACGTCTGTTTAAGATTAAAGATACCAATACATTTGTTGATCATATCTAATTGAAATATATGTATACAAACTAGGATAAGGCATTTTAAACCAGTTGGCGTCCTTGATGATTCCTGACCGTGCATCTGTTCTTGCCATATACTGGAAATCGTTGGGATCATCTGTCAGTGCTCCTGTAACTGTCATGAGAGCCGACATTCCCCAGCCTACCAGTATACCGATCAAAATCTGTAGTTTCGTATAAACAAAAGCAAACAATTATTATTTTGTTTTGTTGCTTTTCGATTCAACGTACAGCTTAACATCCATAAGCGTAGATGTTTATACAATACAATATGTTTTATTTAAGTGTCACATATCACAGTACAAAGAAATAAACCATCAGTTACATTTACAGACATAAATGATATATTCAAAATAGGATTTATAATTAATAAGCACAAGTACACTACTGCAAATTAACATTGGACTTATTTAAGACTTGTTTAACAAAGAGGAAACTACAGAAGGTATACCTTTACACAGTGTGTATTGTAAATGTAATAGTATGTAGTACTTCGAATGAAAAAATATATACAGTGACAACTAAATCGATAACCAAGTGTGAACATCTCGATTTATTTCTAAATAAGTTGAATGTAGAAAGTGATCCATTTCACAAGCTCTGTATTTCCCACCTTTTGGTTTATCATTTGTCATAAAAATTTCTATTTAAGCATTATGTCCACATACCTCGACTTCATATGAAAAAAGATTGATTTATCCCATCACCTGCTAACAAAGTAAATCAAGTAAAATAAGGATATATCAGGTGGTTATCGACAAATGCAGGTAAAATACAATTAAACTTTTGGTTTTTTTTTTTTAAACATATACTTGACAGAAATGTAATTGGAAATGACATGCAGTTTGAGATATTATCAATGAAATTATCGTTACATGTATTTAAGGAATGTATTGAATTTAATTTTCAATTACACCTTGCCTGATATAGGGAGTATAAAGCAAAAGAAAAAGTCATCCTTTTAAGATGGTTATTTATAACTATCGTTTTTGAAAAAAGACCTAATCTAAGTTCATCAAATAATCTACTAGTACTCCGGTGTACTACATTCTGATATTTCCACTGAATACAACTATGTCCTGGTATACACACAGTCTCGTATCTAAATGAGAATATCATTCCAAATTTATCTTACGATGCATTTGTAATACAACACCTGACACCTTACGACACGAGAGAAAATTTATGATGATTATGCAGTTTACAACATCAAATGGCTCCATATGTCCATATCAAAAGGTATATTCAGCTTTGTGCAAATTATCTTTCAAGACTAATTTACATCATGTCACATTTTCGTCTTTGAAGTGCCTTTTCCAAATTCCAGTTTAGTTATAGCAAAAGTTAGACATTAACCAAAGAACCTTATACAGCATTTAATCATGGTATTGATATTACTCTAGAAATCTTGTATGTAAGGGTTTTCTCAACAGACTACTAGACACACCTATCTTGATAACATTTTACTTTACGTTAGGCAGCAGCACCATTCAATGGTTACTATTAAACTCAAACCCTTTACCCAAAATTCAGTATCTTTACATACCTGTTGCAATCCCATATCTCCGTTTTGTATCTATTTTTTGCGACTATTACTGGAAAACCATCGAACCCATTTCAATAAAATTCTGCAGAATTTATCCATACCCTTTACCCTCTACCCCCTTCTGCCTTCCCATTACCTTCAATCCCTACGACATGCAGTATTCAATATTGAGAAATCCATTGATGCCCACAAGGATATGCGATACGTTCCTAATATTTGAATGTTGCATTCACAACATACATTGTATAACAACAAACAACATTCAGAGTCTGAATGGTTTGCACTACAAGATAATGTACAACATTCAATATTCAGAATTTATTGTGCAGTATGACATAATTTGGAATTCATTGTTTGAATGTTGCGCAGATCAACATGATGTACAACATACATTATTGGGTGGGTGGTTAAAGAAGTCATATGAATCAATTCTTGAACATTTCCCTCATGTTGACTCTGAATGCACAGATCACGGCCATGAACAAACAAGTACTCCGGTACGGTAAAGCACAATACCTCTTTGAAAAAAGTCTTACTGGTGAATATTCTGTTATGATATAATGAAACGTAATTAGTTGCAAGCATCAGAAGTCGATGGATTACAGGTCAAAGTCATATGAAACTGAAATGAAAGTCAAATGTCTATTTACCAAGCCCCCCCAACCCCCCTTTAAAAATTCACTTCACCAAAGGATGCGAAAGACCAAAATTCAAAATCCAATCATTCCCACTGACTTAATATATCATACCATCAGCACACACTGATACAATATATCCTACCATCAGCACACACTGACACAATATATCATACCATCAGCTCACACTGACACAATATACCATACCATCAGCAAACACTGACACAATATATCCTACCAGCAGCACACACTGATACAATGTATCCTACCAGCAGCACACACTGACACAATAAATCATACCATCAGGACACACTGACACAGTATATCATACCAGAAGCACACACCGACACAATATATCATACCATCAGCACACACTGACACAATATACCATACCATCAGCATACACTGATATAATATAGCATACCATCAGTTCACACTGACACAATATATCCTACCATCAGCAAACACTGACACAGTATATCATACCATCAGCACACACTGATAAAATATATCCTACCAGCAGCACACACTGACACAATATATCATACCAGCAGCACACACTGTCACAATATATTATACCATCAGCATACACTGATACAATATATCCTACCATCAGCGAACACTGACACAATATATCATACCATCAGCACACACTGATACAATATATCCTACCATCAGCACACACTGACACAATATATCATACCATCAGCTCACACTGACACAATATACCATACCATCAGCAAACACTGACACAATATATCCTACCAGCAGCACACACTGATACAATGTATCCTACCAGCAGCACACACTGACACAATAAATCATACCATCAGGACACTGACACAGTATATCATACCAGAAGCACACACCGACACAATATATCATACCATCAGCACACACTGACACAATATACCATACCATCAGCATACACTGATACAATATAACATACCATCAGTTCACACTGACACAATATATCATACCATCAGCAAACACTGACACAATATATCATACCATCAGCACACACTGACACAATATACCATACCATCAGCATACACTGATAAAATATATCCTACCATCAGCATACACTGATACAATATATCCTACCATCAGCGAACACTGACACAATATATCATACCATCAGCATACACTGATACAATATATCCTACCATCAGCGAACACTGACACAATATATCATACCATCAGCGAACACTGACACAATATATCATACCACCATCAGGAAGACATTTACACATTATACAATCATCTTCAATAGGTGGCATATGGAACTACAGCATTAATACACAAGACAATTATTTCTCTGGTGGTAGATTATCTATCTCTCTCTATTTATAAGCAATTTCATTTATGAATTTGAAATAAATATGCTTATATTAAAATCTAGTATTTTTTTTCTGAAAATCGCAGTATCGATGCGGCAATGATAATAAAGTAAGGCAAATAATTCTTATTACCGAGAAGACTTGGTGGAAGGGATACCAGCTCCAGTAAAAACCTCTCTTCCTGGACCAGCGTGGGTACGGCATTTTCTTTTCACCGAGGTACTGTGACAAAATTATCGATGTCCCAGCCGTTCTATGAAGAGGATACTCCAATACATATACTGACACATATAAATGGTTAAAGCAAAAAGTATTGAACAGGTGCGAAAATGAAAGTAAAACAATGGCGAACTCCTTTCATACCAGACAATTTTATTTCCCTTAGCATCCAAATATTTAAAACAGAATTAGTGGATCATAAAAGTAATAAAGTTCCTATGGCTTGTGGATACCCATATATATCTCAAACTGAAATCAAGTCGAAATATAGACCTTTAAAATAAAATGAATGTGTCAAAAAATGCATGCTAATAATTCAGAGCAAAAAAAAATTCAACCATCAGCAATTTGATGGTGGTAATGGACAAGGTGATAGGCCTTCTCCTGTGACGTGAATATTGCTTTGGATGATCAGTTCACGTTCCCACCTCTACCTTCTAGGATAGTCTCTAGCAGTGACAAGAAAGCGTAAAATCCAATTCGTATTGAGGAATAGGGCATCATCCTTCTCTGCAACATTAAATTTTCATTGAGAGCAAGTGCTCAAAGTTTATGAATATCCGATTCCATTGACAAGAGTCATTAATAAAATGTTTTTGTACTCATTAATGAACATCCAGCATTCTAAAAACTACCCAGTTACAAAATCACAACAACATAACTCAGACAGTTATGCAGCGGCTTGTTCTCTTAACCGCAGAGCAGGCCAAATCAAGTCTAGTAGATCTTATCTTTTTATAAAATTCAAAAATATTTCACCCATCATTCATTTTAAAACAAGGTGTTTCATTCATCTTGATATTCCCAGGGGACAGCTGTCTTCAAGACGTGTGATAAGCGTGATGATTGCATGTTTTTATTTGGAGTTTTCTTTTTTACAATATTCCCTTCCATGCTTTTCCAGTCAATGGATTAAACAAGTCACAAATGACTTGGTCCTAAATTATCAATCTTCGTAAAATATGACGATAGATGAGATATTCCAATTGTTCGATTTGGTGATGAAGCAGGGGACTCTTATCCTTCCGGACCTCCTGGTCCTACTCCTTTGAGCCTTGTTCCATATATGTTGTTTCAAGCATTCACTTAATTGATTTTGAGTTTGAATGGCGAATTTGTTGCATTGGTGGTATTTTACACTATACCTACCTCTGATATTAAATATGATTAATACATTTATCGAAACTTACACCAAAGCTATGGCCCAGTGAGTCCTGCAGAATTTGACGGTTGCCCTTGACAGAAAAATGCCACTGAGTAGGTTAGTAGGTACCACTGTGATTGGACCTATAAACCTAAGGAGGAAGCCCACAGTGCCAGTCATTCCGACCAGAGTATGGATGACGCCCACCAACATGAGACAACCCTGGAACTAGTGAAATTCATGCACCAATCAATGTTAGAACTTCGATAATCTTGAAAGATCACGAAAAATTATAGATCAGGTTTGAGCTTTTCACATGTTAAATTGAGATACACTTGGCAAATAATGTTAGGCTAATAGCTATCAAATTTTCTTAAAAATCTAAATGCGCTAAGCATCTACTGCATACTAAATGTATAGGGCAAAAACCTTTTTCTCTCGAAATCTAAGATTTCCAAATATGTGAATTTGTCACAATTTAAAGTATGAAGTATAACAAAATATCTGCTGGAAATCAAATTCAATACATAAACGTACATCCACATTAAAGACATTCACAATGATTAATAATATACCATAACTGGGTAAAGGCAACTAATATTTCATGTGGTTCAAAAATTGTAATCCTGAAATAAGATATTTGAAGAAAGAAAAAGTTATATTACACTTTTTGCGATTTTAGATTACAATTCAGCAACTTATTTAGCTAATCATAATAGAAAGATATTTTATCCTTCAGTGTGGTAACGCGCTTATGTAAAAATCTCCTTATAGAATGAAATTTCACATTTGGTTATTCGTAATCCTTAATAAATTTACCTCTTGTAACTTTGTAAAGGCATGCTCTCTCTTTCGACTAACGTCATCCAATGTTGCATTTAGTTGGCTGAAATTTCCTTTGGTCAATGTACCATTTGCTATGTCCTCAGAATCTAAATATGATATGATGAAATACACCGTTTGAAGCAGAACAAATAAGAAAGTGATCAAATTTAACCGAAGAGAATCAAACTTTCATTTCATTGTTTATGAATTTGAGATTTTGTCAACATGTCAGGTATTTCCTTGTCGTTATCTATGAAACACACAAAAATCAGACAAAAAACCGCAACAAAAATAGAAGAATAAGTCTAGAAAGCATAACGATTATTAATATACCTAAGCTAGACAGGACGCTACATCAAAATTTGCAAATGCATACTTAAATCACTAAACAAAAATATTTGATGAATAGTTGCATGCAAAAAAGAGTAAATATGTACCAGGAACACTACAGAAATATTTGACTTGTATACCTAGTAAATGTGAAAGATTACCTGGGAGTTAACTGCAATCTTTATTGACTGGTTGTATGACTAGAAATAGTATAAACTTACCTGGGACTTTACTGAAAACTTTGTTGTCTAGTAGTATGGCTAGAAATAGTAAAAACTTACCGGGAAGTTTACAGAAATCTTTGTTCACTAGTTGTATGGCTAGTAGTGGCACTACATAGTCGGCACAAGCTCCCTGAAAAACTGGTATCCTGTAAAGACAAACATACTTCTAGGTAAACTCTAGAGCACTACCAAGTCAAAAATACTATCATGCAAAGGAAAAAACTAATACCAAGACAAAAATACTGCCAGGTACCTTGTCAAAATGATAATATACAAATCAAGAACTGTAACAGGGCAACATAAACAAAGCAGAATAATGTAAAAGGAAAGATTCCGCCGTTAAACGGAACGAGTTGATAGATAAAAATACAGTAATGATGTGGATAAAATCGCTGATGAAAACCCTTTGGCACTCATCAAAATTAGTTTTGGCAAATAATTAGAATTATTTATTCTTGAAAATCCTTTGATAATTAAGGGTTAAAATGTAACTATTGTCTCTGCATATAAGGCAATAGCTCAATCCTTGTCTGCAGACATGATTACATTTCCTCAATACCAAAAGATCTAAGCTTGGTTAGTAGCAAAGGAAACCCTACCTACACATTGCACACAAGCAGAAATAATGGCTAATCATGCTTCAGTATTATAATAATTTAGATTGCTTATTGATAACTACGTTACAGACCACCCCTATTTATATTGGTTTCCGTTACTTCACAAGAGTCAATATATAGAGTATTTTAATACTCATATAGCTGTTCAACCAAATCTTTTTTCTTACGTCTTGCTGTCTTGATCTTAGTAATAGCTAATCAGGTAACAGTCTTATTGTGATACTGTTTCCTCAAGAAATAAGATTAATGATATGTGAATTTAAGAAGACTTCAAAGACCTTTTGACAAATCTTCAACACCCTCTTCTAAAAAAAAACAAAAAAAGTTTCTTTAATAAGAATATTCGATTCTGTCCATTCTATTCACCATCATATCCCATTATAATCTGAAGAACGTCTTCGTTTCTTTTCATAGAAATATACTGTTTTGAACTCATGAAAAATTCTTTCAAATCAAAGAAGAAATAGACAGAAGAGAAAATAAAAAAATGTCTTTCTATATCTTCGTGAAGTTTGATGGTAATATTTTTCAATGGACTATTGGCATACCCATGGAATCAAACTGTGCCCCACTGTTGGCAGACTGAATTTTATGTTTTTCGAATTTATCGAAGAGCTTACCAAAAAAACGGTCACGAACACCTTGTAAAGTGCTTCATTATCACTTTTAGTCGTATTGATGATGTCTTTGAATAACACGTGATTTAAATACTATGCCATCATGTCAGAAGAGTTCTATCAAAGGAGGGGGGGGGGAGGGTGGGTGTGTGTGTGTGTGTGCGGGGGGGGGGGTGTATTTACATATAACGCGAAAAGTCAACACGAGTCATCGCCCCTCATATATCTACAGAACACAACACTTGTATATACCCACCAGAATTGGAAATCAAGGACATGACAGATTTTTCTGCGTCATTAGCTTATTTCGATATTTTCCTACACTTTCCCGTAGCTGATTTGATCAAGTTTCTGTTCCCAATATCACGGTTTCATTCCGACAACTGACAAAAAATGTCACAGCATAGGGTCTCAAGAGATTCGGGTTGATGAAAGTTTTAGGGTATTCGTAGTGATATCGACTAGAAATATTTGATTTCCTGTCGTTAACGAAACAGAAAACGCTTACTCTTCTGAAACATGGATTCTGATTCTGTTCACATGTTGGTATTCCCCTGTTATCGACAAGTCAACATACATACAACCTTCTTCGGGTTTGCTAAAATAGATGGATAATTAGTTCTCATAAAGCTTTATCATTTCATTTTATTACAATGTTAGCTTTAAATAATTAAGCATAGATATGATAATCACACATTTTGAAGAAAAATGAGTTATCAATATAGTATTCCTGTGGGAGAAAATAGTCTATCTCATTCTTTAAGCCTTACTCGAGAAGCTCTATTCGTTACTAAGGGTGATTACCTGGTGCCAATAGTAACTATCAGTAGTGTTGTCACTCCATTCATAAGTAGAGTCGTGCTGAGGAGGTCGGTCTTTATGTCCGGAAATTCGGAAGCACATGTTACATCAGCAACGAATGACGATACGGCAAGCGAAGTGGACAATCCTATCAGGACTTGCTGTAGGATGGAAAAGAAAATAAGATGTAAGTCCAAACATTTCCGTCATGGACAAGGACTGCATCTATAAGCAACTATTATTTATTGTGTAAAAAGAAGACACACAAGTGAATAACACCTTTCAACTAAAATTCAGAACAACATACAGCATAGCCAGATAAATAATTACACTGCATCACATAGTTGTTTTCTTCCTCTTGGACCATCAGTGATGCTGAGGACAAAATTCTTCAAACCAAGGATGCGAAATGGATTAATGTCAGAAACAACTGACTGGAATAAATTTCATATTCTTCAATATAAACCCATTTCAAAAGATATTCAAATTTTATGAAACGAAACTGGAAGACCTGAAATGAAATATTTGTGGCGAGTTTTGAAAATCACATTTGAAGCTGAACACAAAGGTTGTCACAGTTACAGAATGCTGAGAAACGTATTAAACAGTTGCTTTGTTGTAAATCTGTGCATGCACACATATCTACTCGTCTACATTCCCAGATCTATAGCCAAACGGAATACAAACAGTAGCAAAACGCTAACAAATCCACTTGATACATACCTGAAAAGCAGAAAAGATGGCTATGTGTATAGGCGTTTGATCAGACACATTGTAAAGAAGCCTGTGTTTTAGATCTTCACGTTCGATCTCGATCCTATCCACCTTTTCCGGTACAAATCTTTCTTCCGGTAAAAATGAATGTTTCGAAATGTCGTCTTCAGTTATGATTTCGGCAGTATTGGTAATTTCAGTTTCATCCATGGTGTCAGCAGACTGTCCTTCCTTGAAAAAATGGACAGGACCTTAATATCATTAAAAAAAACCTAGAAAAATGTCATCATAAACATAATACAAACTAAAATTTAATAAAACGAGGGCAAAATATGAACTTCCGGTGCGACAACAAAGCAGCGCTGTTTAGTGGCTCTCCAATTTTTCATGTTTCCCTAGTACCATGGAATTTGGTTGGACTTGCTGGTGATATGCGTCGTAAGTTATGACCTACTCTAAAGGTAGGAACACACTTTCATGAGAAAAATATGTGTGATAATCAAATGTGTGACAATCAATCTACACTTATTTTAACATAAAGAACTATGTACAGTCACCCAAGCGTGTAATTCACGTACTGGCCTAGCCACCCAGCCAACCTTACCTGTTGAACTCTTACAATCAAGCAGTGGTATGCGTGTGTGTCGCTATAAATAGTAACGTGCTCGTGGTTTGTTTACATCTTGAGTAATCAAAAATATATTCATGACAGCGGCCAACTACAGTGCATTTGAAACCGGTCTCAAACGATCTCATTGCGATCTTTCCTCGTCGTCGTTATCGTCTGCTTCTCCGTCCTTTTCGAGGGACATTAAAAAGAATAAATTGTGTACAAACTTATATAGTCCTTACACATCTACACCAATGTCGTTGAGTAATTACATCCGACCTCCCTATGCCTCAGCAGTCACCCAGCCTGGTGCCCCACCTAGCCATGTTCAGCATTCACATGATCAGCATCCCCAACCCCAGCCAGCATCCCAACTGCCCTCGTACAGTCCTACTCATTATGATCAGCCTGGAAATATCAGTGATGCTGATATCCAACGTATCGCCAACGCAGTGAGGGTCAGTTTGCTGACGGACTTTAGTGCTGCTGTCCATGATGCTGTGGCTCCTCTCATGGAACGCGTTTCTGTTCTGGAAGCCGAGAACCGGGACCTCCGTCGTCAATTGGACGACTTGGAACAGTATGGTAGGAGGTCTCTGGTTCGTTTTTCGGGATTTCCTGAAGTTCCAGGACAGAACACCACCGCCATAGTTCTCAAAGCTGTTTAGTCTTGTGGTGTGGGCCTATCAGCTGAAGACATTGAATGTTCCCATCGGGTTGGGAAACCAGTAAAGGACAAGCGTCGCCAGATAATCATGAGGCTCAAGTCTACTGTGGCCAAATTTAAGCTTTTGAAATCTGGCAAAGGCTTTCGGAACAATCCGGAGTATTCGACTATCTCTGTTAATGAGGATCTGACCAGGTTCAGAGACAACTTGTGTTATCATGCGCACCAGTTGGTCAGGAATAAACACATTCTCCAGACTTGGACAACCAACGGCAAAATCATGGTGAAGGACCTGAAGTCCCACGTGTCAACGATCCGTGACGAAAGTGACCTCATACCATTTGGCCACGTAATCAACCAACGTCGACCATAATTACAAGTACATTTAGACATCCCTGACATGCAGTGTAACTCAATGGAATTGCATTACTTGATACTAAGTACTTGCACGGCAACTAAAATTATATTATATACTTATATACTGCATTGTCCATGTGTTTGTGTACTTGACAATCATATGTACTCTACCTTACATGTAACCGTATACGGTGAACTTCTCGCATAGAGAAATTATGCATTACACAGTAACGTCTGTTTACTTAAAATGTATTACCATAATGTGTGCTTCATTGCCTATGATTTCAGTATCCTCTACTTTTTTTTTTCCAAATGTATTAAGTGAACATATACATGTATATTTATCCACATGTACTTAGAGATTCACTGAAATTGAAAATTTACTCATCGAGGAGTGAAGAGACACCATTTATATATATATATATCGCACAATGCACTTCACTGTTATTGAAAATTTGTTTCTCCAAGAGTAAACTTCACGTTTTATGTAAATATCTATTTAACACACAGTGTACTTCATTGCTATTGAAAATTTATTTGTCCTGGAGTAAACTTCACACTTTATGCGAATATTTCTATTTACCACAGTGTATTACACTGTTAATGTGATTTATCATTTTTTGGAGTTCACCTTTTATGTAAATATCTATTTGCAAATGGTTATATCCATGGAAATGGAAATTTACTTATCGTAAACGTCGGCGTTTCTGGAACAAATATGTATCACAATGCATGATTCACTGCTATGAAATTTTATTTATTGAAGAATGAACTTCACCCTTGACGTAAATATCTATTTAACACAGCATTTTTCACTGGAATTGAAAATTTATTTGTCTAAGTGTAAACTTTGCCCTTTATGGAATATATATCCACCAAACAGTGTATCTAATCACTATTGCTAGAAATTACGTATTGTAGAGTGAACTTCAATCTTATGGAATATCATTTTACCAAATACATTTGCAGTTCTACATTCATACTTATGTGTGTATATCTATATTTATTCATTCATTATGTGTATCCCTGCAACGTCCCACCCAGATTCCTTTTTCCCTCGGGATCCAATGATTGCCCTACCTAATTTAGAAACCCCAACCCTATTCCCTTTTCTTCTCTTTCCTTGCTTACTAAACCATTCCTAGATTTCTTCAAAGATTCTCACCCCTGTCTACTAACCCAGTCTCTTCCAATACTTTTTACCTATTTGATCCTGTAGTAGTTCGTATGTCCGCCATTCGTACCGATCGTGCACCAATACATGCTTCATTACGAATCACATAAGATGCCAGTTAATATCGAATTATACCGTGCACGCATCGGATCCTACTACGTACGCGCCGTTCTTTCTATACGAAAATGTCTATCTCTGCTAGATATTGTATGTATCAATTTGTTATTATTTTCAACTATGATTATGTATATATTACTGCATATTGCTGGTGATGTAGCTGAAAATCCAGGTCCCTTTTCCACTAGTACATCAAATGGATCTACAATATCTGAAAATATATCACTAGATGATTCTAAATACTCCTTTCTACACCTGAATATCCAAAGTCTTAAGCCTAAGTTAGATGTACTGTATACCGAACTCTTCAACTGTAGCATTTTATCCTTTACCGAGACTTGGCTAAGGCCAGATGAAATATGCGATGATATTTGTTTCACCGGATTCACATCCCCGTTTTGCTTCTGTAGGAATAATAAAATCGGCGGAGGTATAGCAGTCTATGTTAAAGACAACATCTTCTCGAAATGTAGACCAGATATTGAACTACCTACCATTGAGTGTGTTTGGCTTGAATTATCTTTAAATAATAAATCGATACTATATGGTACATTCTATAGGCCACCCAACTCTCCAGTTAGTACTTGGCAACACATTGCCCATTCTATCGAAAAGGCTTTTAATACAGGTATTGGAAATATTATTATTACCGGTGATTTTAATTCTAATGCACTTGAGAATTCCTTCTTGACTTCTCATTTAAATGCCCTATTGCTGGACTTTAATCTACAACAAAAAATAAATGAACCGACTTTCTACACCGAAAGTAGCTCGTCTTTACTAGATTTAATTTGTATAAGTAACCCAGATATTCTATCCAACTGTTTCGTTGGCGAGAGCTTCCTGGATCAACCGTTCCGCTATCATTGTCCAATTTTCGACATATTTAACATAACTAAACCTACTAGGCCAACGTTCAAGAGACATATATGGCTTTTCAATCACGGGAATTATGCAAAATATCGTGAATTACTTTCTAATGTTGATTGGGAAACAGTCGTTCATCCTGAGGACCTAAACACTAGTATTGAAAATTTTAATGCTACTTTGTTAGAAGCAGCACGTGAATGTATCCCCAACAAAACTGTTCATATCCGAAAAAATGATCCGCCCTGGATGTCCCATGCTATTCGTAAACTGATACGTAATCGCAAAAAGGTTCATCGTAAAGCAAAATCAACTAATTTACAAAACAACTGGTTGAAATTCAAACAAGTCCGAAATAAGTGCGTTAACTTTATAAGGAAGGCAAAAATAGAATATTTTAACAAACTTTGTCAAAATCTGCATAGTCAGAGTCCTCTTAAACCTAAGGCTTGGTGGAAAACTGTAAACTTCTTAATGTCCAATTCAGGTAAAACCTCACGTGTCCCCCCCCCTTACTAGTCAATAATACATTATATAATGATGATATAGATAAAGCTACTATACTCAACGATTACTTTTGTTCACAGTCAAACTTGGACGATTCTAATGTCGAAACTCCAACTCTAGCTAACACTCACAGGTGTAGCTTATCTGAAATAATAATTACATCTGAAGATATCAAAGGGATTATCATTACATTAGACTTTTCTAAGGCAATAGGTCCTGACCTGATTAACCCTCGCTTGTTAAAAGAAGCAGTTGATATACTTTGTATTCCTCTTTGTATGATTTTCAATATCTCTCTTTCTAAATCAATTTTCCCCTGTGAATGGAAAAAACCTTGTGTTTCCCCTATCTATAAAAAAGGTGACCCCTCTTTGCCTTGCAACTACCGTCCATTATCTCTTTTATCCGTCGTCTCTAAACTTTTCGAAAGATGTGTCTATAAGTATATTCATAACTATTTCCTAGACCATTCACTTCTGTCCTCTCATCAATCAGGCTTTCGGTCTGGCGACTCCACTGTGAATCAGCTCCTTAAAATAACTCATGATGTTGACCAAGCTCTTGATTCCGGTAAAGAAATTAGAATGGTCTTTTGCGACATAAGCAAGGCCTTTGACAGAGTATGGCACCGCGGCCTACTAGTCAAACTATCCAGTTTCGGTATAAGCGGGAAACTCTTATCCTGGTTCAAAAGTTATCTTGAAAATCGTAAACAGCGAGTCTCCTTAAACGGCAAATCATCTGACTGGGCGTACGTTAAAGCAGGTGTACCACAAGGATCTATACTAGGGCCTCTCCTTTTTCTTGTTTTTATTAATGATATAGTCGTAAATATTAATGCAACAATAAAACTATTCGCCGACGATACTTCTTTATACGTTATAGTCGACCTTCCTGCTCATGCTGCTAAC